GAACCCCATGCTACGGAAGAAGGGTAAACGCACACACACACACCGTCTAACTTTCCTACTGGGCTCAACTCCTACCCTTTCACTCCATTGATTTTGCACCTCTCCCTTGGTGTGTGCATTTAATAAGACCATAGTACCTTTGAATCCCTTTTCCGATAATCACCGAGACAACCTCTCCTGAACCTTGATCCCTTCGTTTGTATTGACCCTTAATAAACTGATTAATGCGTAAACTAAACATTGGTCTCAGTAACAATTTCTGAGTGTGGTGAGAGGATATTCTAACCTACCCACTAAGATACGATCCTGCACTGGCCGTTCCTCTGTGAGAGGCAGCGCCATGTGTGACCCTCGGTTTCACTCACAAACCTCTCCACGCTGGGGGGGAAGTCACGAAAACATCCTGACAGCCGGTAGTCCCCGATGCCGGCCCACGACCGCAACAAAAAAAACCCCCAAACTAAATAGGTTTGCCGTGAGTTTTGATGCCACTCTAATTGGTTTTCAGGTGTCCCTCTGCAGCTCTGAAAGCCTGATTTCTTGCTGCAATTTACAAGAGTCATCTCGCTCCAGCAAGTGTGTTTTAAAGAAATACAGCTGACATTGGAAAAGTAGATGAAATCTTGAGTTGTGGATTGATAAGCAGAGTAAGTCTAACCAAGCTGGTGTAAAATTTCGGTCAGAGGGGAGACAGGGTTCTTGGCACTGCACATAAGCTTGGGCTTGGCAAGACACTGCCTAAGAAAACATTGCAGGTCTTATCCAATTAGATATGGCTCAGAGATGCTCGTGCAGTCCCAGTTATTGACAACTGGTTGAGTCAGAGTCATAAGTTTCAAATTGGGGAAAAGCTATCTATTGCTTATTGCTGCAATGTTTTTTCAAAGCTCTTGCAAAGGAGAAGGGAGAGCGGAAGACCAAAGACAGTGGCCTCAAAGAAAACAGACTTGACTTTGAGAACTGGTAGCAGAAGAGAAAAATCGAGCAAAAAAGGAAAGCAGCTCAGATGAATTTAACAGTTTTATGAGCACAGCCAGAAATTATCCCAGTGTATAGGAAGGACAAGAAGGTAGTAAGAAACAGGCTTGACTAATAAGATGTTCAGTGACCTCAAACACAAGAAACTGGTTTTGCAGGGTTGCTGTGTAGATCAGATCAACAAGCGGGAGAGAGTTCAGAGGAGACTAGAGAAAAAGTATGTAGGAAGTGGCCTGTGAGGAAAGACCAGAAGAATTAGCGCCTTTCAGTCCAGGGAAGACGGAGGAGATGCATGGACATTTCCAGATGAGCAGCATCTCTTTTTACATACGCCTCAAGGATAAAACCTTTTACGATTGTCCTCTAGAAGCAGGACAAATAGTGTGGGGCTGCAAATACAGTGCATAGAGATCTGGTTTCTCATCTCCAACCGTATGTATAACTAAGTGCAAAAGGAGGAGACTGCCTGGGGAACAGAGTGGAAGCGTCTGTCACTGGGGTCTTACAACAGGTTAGACAGGTATCTGTCAGGAACAGATGGTCCATGGCAGAAAGGGTCAGTGAGCAAGATTCAAAAGGCCGCTTCCCGTGAATCTCCGGAATCCAGGTGAGCCAGGAAAAGCAAAGCAAACACGGCCATGCCTCACTAAGCCGTGTGCTCATGTGCTCTCCTTACCACCGTGGCTTCGCAGTCAGTCACTGCTTCTCCCCACCGCAATGGGACCTTCCAGTTTGGTGGTGTTGTTTGCTGTCGTTGTGGGGGAAAGAG